GGGACTTGTGGGATATTCAGAAATGAGACAAGAGAAGCTCAAAATTATAAACAGGAAATGAAAAGAAGACAAAATAGGCCAAAAAAGCATATAAATATTAGGAAGGAAATAAGAAAAAAAGGAAAAATTGGTAGAGTTAATAAAAATGCAGTAATAAAAAAGGCTTTTAGAAGTGAGAATGTGAAAGGATAGAAAACATTGATGACATTCTGTATTTATAGTGCATGTCCTCAGTAACTGCAACGTTTGTTGAGAGCACCTGAAGGAGACAGAAGCTGGAAAGAGATGATTTCCAGGGATCTGAAGGGACACAAGGGATGGCCTCCCACTGCTGGGGAAAGGGTTAGGTGGCATTTTGAGAAGGAATCATTCCCTGGGAGGGGTGAAGAGGCCTGGAATGGATTCCCAGAGCAGCTGTGGCTGCCCCTGGATCCCTGGCAGTATCCAAGGCCAGGCTGGACAGGGCTTGGAGCACCTGGGACAGTGAAAGGTGTCCCTGCCATGGCAGGGGGTGGCACTGGATCTTTAAAATATAAATACAAATAATATAAATATAAATTACAAATATAAATAATAACTATAGCTATAAATATAAAATGATTGGTGCACACAGCCCAAACCACTCCAGGATTCCACAATAAACATCTTAAAAAACAGCACCAGCCTGGGGCGTCCCACAAAACACCCTCTGGTGAGAAACATCTGAGCTCAGCTCATCCATGAGAACTTCCTGCCCTTCCTGCAGTGTTTCCAAGCAGGATAATCCCCAAGAAGGACAGAAATGTGATCTATTTGCTGTTTATCCTGCTGTTATTAAGCTCAGACTCCCCGTGAAAGCTGGAGCAGCAGTGCTGGTCTCCCCACACGTTTTCCACGCCACCAGTGGCAGCTCCAAGCAGCCCAACCTGCCCAGGGTGTGGGCAGCAACATTTCTATTTCTCTTTCTCTCTCCATACATAAACTCATCCCACTGACATCAATTCCACAGCCAAATGTGGTTCCTATTAAGCAGCCGTGTGTGGGCTGCAGCTCCAGAGCTGGTGTGTGGATTTTTGGGAAGCAGAGCCAGTGTTTAATTCCATTTGGCCTCTGCTGAGGACACAAGTCCTTTCAGAGTGTATTAACATCTCTTTCAACTCCTGCAGTAGGAGAAATGCTCCCATCCCTACTGCAAGAAATGTTTTATATAACAGGAGCACCAAGCTTTGATGAGGGATTTCTTTCTGTGCTGGGTTTTTGTGTCTTTAAAAATGAAGTTATTTGGCATTTGAAGCAGAAAATGCATCATTCAGAGTTAAAAATCAGATTTTATCACTAGGTATTCTCAGCTAACACTGTGGTTTATGGTATTTAAAAGACAGGGATGCATTCTGGATGAAATTAAAGGGAAATGGGAAAATTCACTCTTTGAGAGTGGAAGCAGATGGGAAAATTCACCCAAATTTTTCAGCACAGTTTCCTCCCCCCTGTGAGCACTGGAGGGCTTTGGTGGGGGATTTAAGTTTTTGAGTTGTTTTTTCTCAGCAACAATCCTGTCTCTATCAAGAGAGTTATTTCCACATACATAAACCATTCCCTGAGCACCAGATGCTGTCTGGAGCCAAAATAAGGATTTTGGGGTCCAATAACACAAGGGCACAGGTTCCCCTTAATGCAATTCATGAGTTTGGATCTCCTTCCTCCACCCAGCCAGAAATTCTGCATTAAATGTGCAGGTTCTGATCTTGCATCCTCTTGGAATAATTAACCAGAACTGACAAATAAGTGGGAAAGTGATTGGTGAGAGTCTGCAAAAACCCATGTGCAGAGCAAGGGGCTTGCACAGAAATAATACACAAAGTTACACACAATAATATATAAAATATGTGTATACATAAATATATATTATAAGTAACTAATCTTATTTTTTTTTCACTTAGTTACTTTGATTATTTTGAAGAATAAGAACTACTGATAAATTTTCTTCTCTGAGCTTCAGAAATCCCCTCTCCATTCTTTCCAGTATGCCACAGAAAATCATCTTTTCTATTACACCATTTCTTATAACTGCAAAATTCTGAATTTGGGAATCTGTTTTTTCCAACTCGCTCGTGGAAATTGCTGTAAAATCTCCAAAGAGCTAAACCTGTATTTTCTGTTAGGCAAAGAAAATTACAACTGAGGATGTTCTTGGATTGTATTTCACCAGCAGAAGTCTCCATTTTTAGCAGGGCTGAGGTAATGAGCTATTTAATGACAGAGATTGTGTTTAAATCATTCTGGTTTCTTGCCCAAAAGCTCTCCTCAGTACCACTGCCACCCCACAAGCAAATTCCTACCACAAGTGAAAATTTAGACTTCCAAAGATAAACTTTCCTCTCCTCTTGTGGTAAACCTTGTGCAGAGCATCAAGAATTTTTAATAAACACATATCTCTTCATTTTCTATACTTTCTGCATATTACACAAAATACTTTCTCTATTAAATACAGATTTACTTGGTGTTTTTCTTATAGAAAAAAAAAAAAAAGGATAGAATATCTTTCCACTGACAAACTGCAAGAAAATTGAAACGAAAGGAAAAATAAAATCCTTTCTATTTCCCTGGGCTCCTCTGGCTGTGATTGGCATAGGCCAGGCTGATGACATTGGATTTTTCTTTTCTGGTCGAATTAAGTCATCAAAGCATCATCTGCTCAGAGCAGAAGCAAATTCCACTGTGGGGACCAGCACTGAGGGGGTTCCCATGCCAGGGACACTCGGGTTCGGGGTGATTTTCTGGGAGAACACCTCAGGGATGAAAAGCAGATGTGTGTGGACAGGGAAAGGGGATTTGGGATGGCAGGCTCTGCCCAGACAGGGATGCAGGGATGGAATCATGGCACACACAAACTCTGAGCGTGGGCACAATCCCATCCTCAAGAGCTGAGTGCTCCACATTCCTCTCCAGGCTGCTGAATCCAACTCCACTCCCACTTAATTACTCCCAGTGATGACACATGAGGTTATTAAGTGAAATCATCATTCCTGGACCACTGTTCTCACTGTTACATTTGCTGCTCCATCAAGTTCTCGTGTGTTTTCTTTGCTGGTTGCCACAGGATTCTTTGTCCTTGCTGGTAGCGAATCAACATTTCACTGCCCAAACCAGACTTCTCTGGCCAGATCCACACAGGGTCTATTTTTTTCCAGAAATCCCTAGTTTTTTATGGCCTGGCTCCCAAAAGAAAACAACACAGCAGCCAACAGCAGGAAGGAATGAAGTTGTTTCAGATACCTGGATCCCAAACCGTGCTCATGCCACCAAAGTCAGACACTGATGGCTGCTCATGATCCCCTGCTCTCACATCTGTGCTGTTCCAGACCTTCTCCAGCTGCAGGGATCACTTCCATAATCCAGTATTTTCATGGTCAGAGTGCCTCACAGAAATGACATAATCCCCAGCTTGAGCACTTAGTCACATGGACACATTCCTTCCCCATGCTCACATTGGCAAACATCTCATCTTCCTCCACAACCAGTCACAAACTGACCCATGTGATTTGTGCTCTCAGATTTGAGGGATGGGGAAAGAATTGCTTTAACACTGGTGCAAGATCCATTTCTCAGTGTTTCTAAAAACTTTTAACAAAAATCTGTGTTTTAAAAGCAACATCATTGACACTGATGAGAGCAGCAGACAACAAGGCTTTGGAGATCAGCATTAATTTGAATTACCATCTCTCTTAAAAATATATATTTAATGTGTTTCTAAAAGAAGCCTGAAGTCTTCTGCTTCAGGTAAATAATGAAGCAAAAATTGCCCTAATGCAGCCACCTGACTGGGTTAGATTTGGCTTTCAATTTCCCCAAAAATAGCTTGAAAACCACTGGAAACAGCAGCAGATAAGAGGAACGTGTTTCCTGCCATCACCAAACACCACTGACATTCCCTTTCCTGTAGCCATTCCACAGGCACTTCTCTAAACACCACCCCAAATAATCCCTTGCTGACCTGTTCCTAAGCCTTACCTGGAGTTTCAAATTGCCAATTCCATACAAAACTCACCAGTAGAACAAATTATTTCCACTCCAGATCCACTGACTACACAAAACATAAAGAATCTGGTAACAACAAGACCTCCTGGTTTATTAGAATCCCATTCAAGGATCACTCCTGGGCCAGCCCAGACACCCCAACAACCCCAGCCTGTCCCTGGGAGCACTGTCCAAACACTCCTGGAGCTGTGGCAGCCTCAGGGCCATGCCCATTCCCTGATTCCAGTGCTCAACCACCACCTGGCAGAAGAAACTTCTCCCAAAATCCTGATTATGCTAGTTTCTTGGAAATAAAGCATAGGGAACAGACTTGGCTGTCCTCAACGTATTCACTAGAAGTCACCACAGCAGAACACGATGCTCACATCCAGATTCCTCTTTTCATTTCAAACCAGTGGCTGTGCCTTTGTTCTATACAAAACCACATTTGATTCCTTTTAAATTAACAAATATCGTGCCTTTAACACAAATAATATCAGTTCACAGCTCCATAACAGCTTAAGTAATCCAAAGACTGGTGCATATGGAGCAGACAGAAATCCAACAGCGTCCTGCCATTCCTGCTGTGAATCCAGATTTTATGATCCTGAGATTGCCAACTTTTCCCATCACAATCTCAGCAAGTCTTTTGAAAAAAGAGACATAAATGGGAAGTCAAAAACTACAGTTCAAGACCACGGTGATCTGAGCACTTGAACAGTACTGAAATTTGTGTTATGAATTATTTCTGCAATATTTACTACACTCACAGCTGGTGGTTGCACAGATGTCAGAATTCAGAATAAAAGACTGAGGAATTTCTGGTGAATACCCACCAACTGAAGTAAACCAGCCCTTTAGGATTTCTTCCTAAAAACCCTAAGCCTTCTTCACAAACAAAAGCCAACAGAACACCCCACCACACATCAAACCCACTCTTAAAATCTCATTTAACACGTCCGTTCCTGCCTTATCCACACGTCAAACCCCCATGCTTCACTCACAGCGAATCCCGTAGATCATGAGGGGATCCAGCTGCTTCTTGCCGTGCTTGCCCTGGCCCGAGAGGTTGGAGATGGCCTGGATCTCCCTGTGGAAGAGGTAATCCAGCAGGGTCAGGGCCATCTTCTCGGCCGTGCGGCAGTTGGTGCTGATGTGCAGCATGTCGGCGGGCGTGATGGGGCAGCGCACCCGCATCTCGGGGTTGTTCTCGTCGCCCAGCCACGTCCCGTTGGGGTAATCCTCTGAAACACACATGGGCAAAGGCTGAGCAAGGAGGCAGGCTCAGGTCACAGCCAAGATTTTGATAGTTTGCGTCATCTCCCCCAACTTTGCATCCTGGCGTCCATAGGCTTTCCCAGCCGAGCGCGGTGGGATAGCGACGGCGGCCACTGAGAGAAAGAAACCCAAATTCACCCCAGCGGTGGCCAAAAATTATTGCTGTTCGTGTTCTGACCTACACAGCAACTGTGCAGCCAGTCCAGGTGTCCAGCTCGCTCTCAGAGACCTCTCTCATTGAGAAACCACTCCAGGCCCAGTGCTCTGATCCCCTAAAAATGAAGGTTACTGCAACTCTGGGATATTCTCAAAGCACAGCAAATTTCAAGCAGCTAACAGCTTTGAACCTTGTTTTTCCCCAACCCCAAACCCATGAGATTAAAGCAAGGTTAAGCAAGATTATAGATTTAGGAAATTATAATCAATAGTGAACACTAACCTGCTTAATCTTTTAAAAGGAGTACATCAAGCAATGACAATATTTTAGGATGTAACCAGAGATCCCAAACATAATTTGGGTTTTTCTCATATTTACTGACTATATTATTTTCTAAATAATAGTTTCCCAAGGAACAGGCCCAGCAGAAGGATAATTACTCAATCACTATTCATCCTCCATCAGTACTACAGCTATACCTACCTACACACACACTCAATATATTAAGAAGCTTTTTTATTTCTTTCCCAGTTTCTCAGTGAAAAAAAAAAAAAAAAGAATACTAGGGATTTAATTAAATAAATTAATTAAATTCAAAGGAATCTTAGAACCTCACTTCAATTAACCTGTGTAGACAATGCCAAAAGTTGATGAATTCAAGACTAACCAGAAACTGGAACAGAGCTCAAGACCAACCCCACCTCAAGTGGAGGATGGAACACACAGCCAAGGATGAGTCTCCCATTCCAGACATAAACCAAACCTCCAGAATTCCTCACACTGCTAATAGGAGCTGGGTAGGAAACACTCCAGCAATATTTCAGTGTCCACTGACATGGACCATTTGGATTTGATTTCCATGTTTGCTCAACTGTGGAGTAAAACAAGGTTTGCTGACTGAGGGGTCACTCAGCCCTTCCACAGAGAGCTTTACAGTAATGTATTGTGAACAGTGTTCAGTTACAATTACATTAATGACTTTTCTTCCATGAAGTGATCTTAGAGCAGGGTTTTGTGATACAGACAAAGTCCCCAGTTCCTGGTTTCCATAACCCTTCCAGTCCCCACAGGAGGTGACAGAGCTCAGGTCAAACAGCGTTTCCTTTTCACACCGAGCAGCACCCACAGCAAGCAGCATCTGAATTTCCATATCCTGCCCTAGGGTTTATCAGACTACAAGCCAGAAGAACTCAATAAAATAGAACATAAAAGCAACTCCAAACACTCCAAACTGCTTTTCCAGCATGACCTTTGGGTTGAGTCACCCCACATGTCAGGGCTGAGTTCGCAGTGCTGAGTAACGACAGGATGAGGCAAACGTTGGGTTGTGCAATCCTGATTTATCACGGCGAGCAGCAGATTATCAGCACGAGCACAGCCACACAACCAGGGAAAGGCTTGGGCTGGAAGAGACCTTAAAATTCATTTCCTCTGCCCCTGCCGTGGCAGGGACACCTTCCACTGTCCCAGGCTGCTCCAAGCCCTGTCCAGCCTGGCCTTGGGCACTGCCAGGGATCCAGGGGCAGCCACAGCTGCTCTGGGCGCCCTGTGCCTCCCCACCCTCACAGGGAAGGATTTCTTCCTTATATTCAGTAACTTGCAAGGAAAACTATTTATTGTTGACATATGTAGCAACTCATCCCTCAAGTTTTTTTCCTGCTGAAATCAGAACTTCATGCCCTGTCCTGAATATATTTTTATACACTTGCAAATTGTTTGTATTTTTTTTGCCTTAATTTGATCCTTTCTTTTTTATCCTCAGCCAGGATAGGTCATACTGGCTGCTTTCTGCTCCCAGTACCAGGTGCCATCTGAAAAATAAAGTGGTTTGGATGAGCTGTGCCTTGTTTTGCATGCCACTGTGTCTGGCCTCACCACAAGTCTGGTTACCATTATCAGGGAAAACAACAGGCTGTTCCTCAAGATAAATGGACTGGGTTAGAAAAATTTGGGCAGATCTGGCAAAGCAAAAACATCTCTGGATCAATGTGTACGTTTTTCAAAGAAATTCTAGGAAGCCTGAATAAATTATCCTCCAGCCTATCACAGCCTTACTGCCTTACAGCTCACAGGATTGCTGTTGGATATAGGAATTTTTACTCCTTATGGAACACCTTTTGCCTGCAGTCTTTTTTAACAAATGTTGTTAACCTACATGAACCAAAGATTCTGTTCAATTTGCAAAATCCTCTCTTTTTTCTGCTGGCACAGAGTCCAGAACATACTGTTTTTACCACATGCAACTGTTCTTTTATTGCTCCCAGCCTGGAAAAAAAGACATTATCTTGTTATTCTGACCTATGACCACAATCCCCCCACTAAATTATCTCTTGCATTTTCCTCCTCCTTTCAAACAGAAAGGGAATTTATTTTATAACCATTTTGCATTAAGCACGACTGAAGTTAACCGTGAATCCACTGCAGCTCTGTGAGGGCACAAAAGCTGAATTATTCCTTATTTTAGATCAAAATCATTCCTGCCAGGCTGCCAACACATCTGGTACTTTGCAGGGAGCGAACACAGGACTGGCACCCAAAAATCTGGTGGAAAGAGGAAATCCAGGGCCAGTTCTGAGTGAGGCACAAACACCCTGAGCTCTGGTGTGGGGTGGAGGAGAATGGATAAGGAAGGAGAAAACAGATTGGGAATTGGATGGAAATTCCCTCTGAGCAATTAAATACATAAACACTATTGACTAAATCTGGATCATTGCAGACTCCCAGCACCCAAATATCCTTCAATGCATGTGGGATGGTTCTTTAGGTGCATTATCAGGCTTTAGAGGTGATACCTGGGTGGAATCTGGAGGGGGTGGGTTATTTAGTGCATGCACTGTAAAAGCCAGACTCCACCCCTCAGCACTGCACAGCCATACCCTGCTGCTGCTGCTCTTTAAAGACTACCAAAAACTCAGCCAGTGTCAGCTGGGGAGGAAAAGAACACTCAAAGAACACCCCTCCCTTCAGCTCAGTGAAGCACAACTGCACACACTCACCTGGAGCTCAGCTCATCACACACCTTTGTGTTTTGCCCTGTTTTCCTTTCTTTAATTAACTGAGGAAGAACTTCATTCCCTGGAGGGTGGCAGAGCCCTGGCACAGCTGCCCAGGGACAATGTGGGGTGTCCCCCTCCAGAGACATCCCAACCCACCTGGATGTGTCCCTGCCTGGGACTGGGTGATCTCCAGAGCTCCCTTCCACCCTGATTCTGTGAATTTTCCTGAGGACTCTGCTGCCCTTTCAGGGGAAAGGAGCTTCCTTACCCTTTTTTACACCAAATATCAGATCACCACAGAAGTGGCTCCTGATCATTTCTCCTCCCAGTGCAGAAAGCCCTGCCAGCTTTACCCAAGTTCCTCTCTGCACTCACAGCCTCATTCCTCCCACACCAATTTCTAGTTCCTCTCCATTGTTCTTTTTGCAACATCACAAAATTCGCCTTTATCTCCTTTCTACTGAACCCAGTTTGCTTCCCAGTGCTGGTTTTGACTCTTTTTTTGCTGCATTTCTTTTATCTCCCAGCACAGCTGACCATCCATCCCTGTTTGGGGACGTGCTAAGGGCTGTCACGCAAACGAAGAATTCCCTGGGAACAGGAGGAGCCAGTGTGGGGTCAGCAGCAAAAAAAGCCCTGTCAAGAGAACAAAAACCAGACAGAGCCTGCTCTGGACGTGCTCTCCCACCCAGGGAAGTGACAGACTCTGAGCTGTTCCATTTTTCCATTGGGATAGGCTCCCCTATGGTCTGACATGAGCCTGAAAGCAAAGCCAGGCTCTGCTCTAGCCCCAGGAGCTGTCAGTCATTCCTTTAAAACTAGGGAAAACAAAAGAGAACACCTGCCCACAGAAATACTGGAATTAACATGTTCCATCACTCCAAGAAGTTGTGTTTATTTTATTCTCAAGGTTGGGTGCAAAGTTGGCAGTGGTAGCAAAAGACTGGTAGGTGCAGAGAGGCAGAAAGATTAATTCATCTTTAAAAAATTAAAATAAACCCCAAAAAAACAAATCCTAACTTAGAAAAATAAACCTCAGTTTCTAGAGAAATTAAATAATGTTTTGGCTGATGTATAGAAGATTCAACATCAGCATCATGTGGAGGGTTGGAACGAGATGAACTTCAAGGTCCCTTCCAAGCCAAACCATTCCATGATTCTGTGATCTTTTAATGAGCTCCTGTCAATTAGCAGAAGTTCACAGGGGCAGTGATTAATTGGCAGAGACTCCAGAGCACTGACTTTATTAATTAAAAATCATTAAGTCTGTGGAAGGGAGGGACAACCAGGCTGTAACTTCACCTCCAGATGCAGCAGTGGAATTGAAAGCTGTGCTAAAAGAAAGGTTAAAGAGCTTTAAAGTCACATTCAGCAAAACCTCCTCCAGCACAAAATGCAGCTCAGACACTGGGAATTCTGCCTGAGGAACAACACACACAACCTGGGCATAGAGCTGGAGTTTTTCACTGGACTGTTCTTGTGGGGGGGAAAGAAAGGTTTCATTTCCTTTTGAATATCAAAGAAAAATCAAAATCATGGAATGGCTTGGGTGGGAAGGGACATTGGAGATTATCCAATTCCAGCCTTGACACCTTCCACCATCTCAGGGTTCTCCAAGCCCTGTCCAACCTGGCCTGGGACACTTCCAGGGATCATGGGGCAGCCACAGTAAATCATATTTACTGATTTTTTGTGAGTCTTCACTGGGAGATACATTCTGGGGCCTCCCCAACCTCACAGGGAGGAATTTCTTCCCAGTATCCCACCTAACCCTGCCCTATTTCAGTTCAAACCCAGAAGAATCTCGTGCTCCAGGTAAATATTCCAGAACACACAAAGGATGTGGCTGAAGGAGACCCAGTCCCAGCTCACCCCCTGTGGATCCAGGACCAGGAGATATTTTGGGAACAGCCCCTGCACTCACAGGTTCTTCAGCCTCAGCACAAATCAGTGAGGTCACTTGTTTGTTAAGAATAAGGCTCAGTTTTGGTGAAATCCAAGAGAGATTCCCTTGCTTTATGACTCATGGAAGGATGCGATCAGATAAAAAGTTTAGATAAAAAAAGATCCAGAAAAAATTCAGAAAATTAAAACCATGGACTCAAAGAGCTTTTTAAAATCTTGGAAAATGTGTTTCATGTCAGAAAATCAGATTTCTAATGTGGATTTTGCCCTTTTTCCTTGTTTAATATATCTTTGTTATATTTGGGTGGAGGTGGGCCAGCATTAACTCCAAATATCCCTGTGGCAGACACCTGCAAGAAACTTGTTCATCTGCTGGCTCCCAATAATTGGAAAAAAACCCCAAAGCAATTCAATTATTACAATTTTCTTTGGCTTTCACAAGTCCTCATCAGTGTCTCCACATCAGCACCACATCATTGTGTTTTAGGGTACAAAAGGTTCACTCCTGCTCTGCTCCAGCTCCTCTCACTGTCTGTGCCTGTCCTGAGGAGCTTGGCAGGAAACAGCTCCAAGTGCTCATCCCACGGGTGAGATCTGAGCCTGCCTGAGCTGGAAAATCCTGTGCACAGATAAGTCTGGGACACAGAGCTGCTTGGATTCCCATTTGGAAAGCAAATCCTGAGTGCTGTTTAATGCTGCCATTATCAAATGACTGCTCCAGATGCCAAGTTGAGGAGACAAGACGTGACTGAGGAGTGTTCTCTGGAATAAACATCAGTCATCCCTTAATTAACACCCAGTCTCCCCTTATCTGCTCCAAAAATACATGGTCACATTTCCAGCTCGGGGTTCTCTGCATGAGAAACGGGAGGGACAGGACACAGGGAATGGTTTCACTCCAGTGTTACATGGGATATTGGGAAGGAATTCCTCCCTGGGAGGGTGGGGAGGCCCTGAAATGGATTCCCAGAGAAGCTGTGGCTGCCCCATCCCTGGCAGTGTCCAAGGCCAGGCTGGACAGGGCTTGGAGCAGCCTGGGACAGTGGAAGGTGTCAGAGCTGGAACTGGATGGGCTTTAAGGTCCCTTCCCATCCAAACCATTCCATGATTCCATGTCTTCTATGAAGGCCCAAAGAATTGATTCACAAATGAAGTTCTGTGCAAGGAGGACACTAAAGACCAGCTGCAGCATTCAGAATCTTCAGAACTTTAAAATGCACAAGAACTCTGGAAAGCACAGGAAAAGAGTCTCAAAAGAACTGAACAGACCAAACTTCTCCTTCTCTTACCACCCTGAAGGTGCAAGGGCAGTGTGTGAAACCTGAAATGCAAAACAACATTGGGCCATCACATCCCTCCCATGCAATCATTATAAAATAAACCATTACAAAATAAACCTTTATAAAATAAACCACTACAAAAGAAATGTCCTCATGTTTATTGTATAACACTTAATGGCTCTCCTGCTCCAAAAGTGTATCAGTGAAACTAAAAAAGCTCTTCCCGTGCTCCTTGTTCTGCACATAACACTAAACTGTACAAAGCTCATTGTTTTTAAGCCTAATTAGAATGTTCACAATTAAATAAATGCACTGTTGTGTTTGAAGTGAGAAGATGCTGCACTCTGAAAACACCAGTAAGAACACAAGCATGTCAAAATTAACTGGATTTTAAAAAGCACATGGATTGAAGTCACAGTGTTCAGTCAGCAAAAAACCAGCCTTGTTCTACACCATTACTGGAACTGGGCTCAAGCTTCTGAATCATTATTTTTCAGGGATAGAAAGGCAGTAACACTCATTTTTAAATTATCACAATTACATTAAAGCCAGCAGAGAGCAAAGAATGCCTTTATAGAAATTCATTCCCTAAAAGCTGGAAATATCCACAGCTCAATGTCAGACAAACCCAACTCTAAGCACAGTTCAGTTGTGCTTTCCAGAGCCAGGATGACAGAGTGGAGCTGTCCTGAACACCTGGTGATTGGTCTCAGTCTGGGCTAGGATCTCCATCCAGATTTTACCTCTGCACACCTCAGAGTCACCTGGAATTCTGCCCCAGCTGACTGATGAAAGCCAAGGGCTGCTGTGACTTGGCCTCTCCCTGCACACCAGCCCTGTTATTCTCCATCTCTTCCTTTATTAATAATTGCATTTGTGCCACCCTGCAGGTGAAGTCACTTAGCAATTCCCTTCTGTGCAAGGGCAGGTGGAGGGGGGTCACTGATCTGATCCTCAAAGCATTCATCAATCTCAAAGATTTTGAATGGATGAGTGCTCCAGAGGTCTGAGGGAAATCAGATCTGCAGACATTAATGGATTAGGTGTTTCTTCAGAATTTACATGCACATCAACGGGTCACACATCATGTTTGTCTGTGCAAATCTGTGCCAGACCAAGGCAGAAAGGGAATTACACAACAAACACCCTCCTGATGCTGGCAGCTTTGCTCCTGGCACAGCTGACAGAGCAGTAAAAATTCTAGAATCACTGAGGCTGGAAAAAAACTTCAGGATCAGAATCACCCAGCTGTACCCAGTCCCCACCTTGTCCCCAGCCCAGAGCACTGAGTGCCACCCCTGGAATTCCTGGGACACCTCCAGGCATGGGCACTCCAACCCTCCCTGGGCAGTTCCAATCCCTGACCCCCTTTCCATGGGGAAATTCCTGCTGCTGTCCACCCTGAGCCTGAGGTCGTTCCCCCTGCTCCTGTCCCTATTCCCTGGAGCAGAGCCCGACTCCCTGGCCAGACTCTTGTACTGCCCAAGGTGTATCCTTTAAAGGCCTTTTACCAAATTCCTACTTTATTCCTTTAACACTGTCCAGCCTCTGTTCTAGGCAGCCTCTCAGGGTATTGTTGGTTTCTCAAGACACCTTAGGGCTCTGCGGCCTCACACGATGGGGCCTTTAGGATGTGAGGCCTAACACAACACCAGGACTGTGCTAAATTATCAGACCTACAGAATTACAAGTATGCACACTAAGAGTACTGAGGATACATGAAATGTACATTAAAAAAAAAAAGGCAAAATCTCCCCTTGGCACCCCACGTACCTTCGGAGTTGAGGGTGATGAGGGTGACGTTGTTGCCGATGCTCTGGCTGCCCACCTGGCCGCTGTTGGACACGGAGTCGCTGGCCTCGGAGCCGCTCTCGCCGTCCTCGTTGTGGCTGTCGTCGTGCCCGGGCACCTTCACCACGATGGTGTTCTGCCGGCGGCCCGGCACCGCGCTGTGGGCAAGGAACACGGGTCACCTCCAGAGAGCAGCCCTCAGCAGGAACGGGAGCACGGAATACCCAAATTCCAGTGTCAGGTCAGCTCGTGGCCTTGCACGTCATTGTGAGGGCCAATGCACGTCACCTTGAGGGAACAGGCCTCAGCAGGAACATGAGTATGGAATCCCCAAATTCCAGTGGCAGTTCAGCCCGTGGCCCTGCATATTGTTGTGAGGGTTCAAGGGAACAGCCCCTCAGCACAAATGTGAGCATGGAATACCCATATTCCAGTGGCAGTTCAGCCCATGGCCCTGCACGTCTTTGTGAGGGCCAGCACTGGTCTCCTCCAGAGAACAGCCCTCAGTAGAAACGAGAGCACGGAATACCCAGATTCCAGTGTCAGTCCAGCTCATGGCCCTGCATATTGTTGTGAGGGTTCAAGGGAACAGCCCCTCAGCACAAATGTGAGCATGGAATACCCAAATTCCAGTGTCAGTTCAGCTCGTGGCCTTGCACGTCATTGTTTGGGCTAATGCAGGTCACCACAAAGGAACAGCCCCTCAGAAGGAACATGAACATGGAATATCCAAATTCCAGAGTTACCAAGTTCAGCTCATGGCCCTGCACATTGTTGTGAGGGCCAACACAGATCACCCTCCAGAGAAAAGCCCCTCAGAAAGAACATGAGCATGGAACATCCAAATTCCAGCATCACTCAGTTCAGCTCATGGGCCTGCATGATATTGTGAGGGAATTAAAAGTGCTAATCACAAAATAAATGTGTTGGATAAAATCAGCTCCTTTAAACCACTCTGCTCCTGTGGAACTGGGAGCTATCCAGCAGAATAAAAAAATCACACAGAATGACCAGGCTGGAAGAGACCAACCCATGCCCTAACACCCCCTCAACTAAACCATGGCACCCAGAGCCACATCCAGACTTTTTTAAACACATCCAGGGATGGTGACTCCACCACCTCCTCAGGCAGATGATTCCAGTACTTTATCACTCTTTCAGTAAAATACTTTCTCCTAACATCCAACCTAAATTTCCCCTTGTGCAGGTTAAGACTGTGCCCTTTGGGTCACACGTAGCAGAAGGAATAAAAAAAACTTAGGTATCAACTTCCTACATCTGCTCAATGGAAAAGTCTAGGCCCCATGCACAAAACAAAAGAAACCTCCAAGTAACTTATAAAAATATATTAATTACAACCATTTTCCACCCAGAATCCCCAGGTCTGCTTGTTTAAAATGCACTTTAGATAGTCCAAGTTTTCCTTGGACTGCACATTCCTCCTTCAGCTGGTTAAATACAGGATTTTGGCGTGCTCCCAAGGGATTATGCCTCTGTGTAAAAATCCACAGCTACGGGAAACCCTTTTTTAACTTAACACAGAGATAATCCCAGCTCCTCCAGGATGCTCTCTCCCATCAAGAGGGAAGCAAGAGAATCTATCCAAGCCCAGGTTCAATCTTTCCCCCCATTATTACCTTAAGGATTCCTTGTTTTTCCCTTCCAGTTGTGGCCTTTGAAACTGGCCCTGCCCAGGGAGGGAAGGAGGGAGGATTCCAGGGAATCTGGAATTCCAGCACTCACTTGCTGAGGATGTTCTCCAGGGAATCTGCTGCTCTGCTCAGCGGCTCCTCCTGCCCCACCATCTTGGCCACGATGGAGTTCTGCCGGTCGTTGTTGAGGATCACCGTGGTCTGAGGGACAACACTGCAAAAAAAAAAATCACAGAGGGAACGAGAATGTAAAGGAGCAAAGCTCATAAATAATCCATGAAGAGGGTTTTGGTTTAAGTAACCCAGGGAAGGTCTGGGCCTTGTCCCTCTCCCGGCACCGCTGATGCCGGCAATCCATCGAGGCTGACACCTGCACCACCTCCAGCACTCTGATTGCTCCAGAGGATGGATGGCTCCTATGGAATTATAGAAAAGTCCATGACCCCTGGGGAAGCAATAAGGAATTCATCAATTCGGGACACACAGGGGGAAGTGTGTAAATCACAGCTCCACCAAATTCTTTCTGGGAGAATCGGAGTGTTTGCAGAGGTACTGTGGTCAATTTACATGGTAATGCACCGGTTTCAGTAGGATAATTCCTGGGAAAAGAGAATTTGAAAGGATTTATTGCAAAAGTGGATGATGAGCATTGTTAAAAGGACCCTGTTGTCCTCCAGGGTGGGGAGATGAGCAGCACAAGAAGCATCAGAACAAACAAGACCAGACTGTAACTGAAGAAAAACAAGACTAAACTACTTCTTGTGTGCATTTCACACATTAAAAAACCTAAATCCAAACACCAAAATAATTTCATGTGTGAGAAACCAGAAAAAGCTTCTTATCACTCCTGATGACAATGGAGAAGGAAAACTTGAGACAGGCTAAGCCTACACTGGAGTGCAAAAGGAAATATGAAACAAACTGTCTGCACATGCAGATGGGCACCTCATCTGTTTGCAGGGATTATTCCCATTACTGCCACACCACCCTCAATATTCCCAGGTGTGGATTTGAGACTTAAAGTGTTCCTGCTGTGCCCAGGGAGAACTGAGGGAGAGAAATGTTGGTTTAGCTCCCCTTTGCTCTCCCCACAGTAAACAGCTCGCTCTTGTTGTCACTGCTCCAACATCCCAAACATGACTGGGGGTCATTTATTTTCCCCTGGCTAATTGCTGAAACACAAATTAAGCCAATCTGGTGACAGCAAGTGCGTTTCCTGCAGCTGCAGCAGAGCACACACTTGAACATTCTCGTGTCTGTGTAAGCCTCAAGTGCCAAATTATCCATCATCAAGGAAAGATAAGGCCCTGTCGTGGAGCCGAGGATGAATAGATCCCAATTTTGGCACAAACAAAATGCTTGACCCTGGATTTTGGCTCCAAAAGCCCCAGGCTGCAATGCCCTGCCTCCCCCTGCCAGGGACTGCATGTGCTGCTGGCAACAGCTGGGATTCCTCAGGGAACCCAGGGAGCCCTGGGCAGGCTCTGGAGATTTTGGCTCATCCCAGGCAAGGGCAGGCTCTGCCAGAGCCCCTCGTGTGCATGTGGAGATCAGATTTCAGAAAGAAATGGGGGTTTCTGTTGCTTTCCTGTTATTCTCTGAAGAATCAGGATTTAGGGCACTCCCGGTCACCTGGTCAAGGGGGAAAATCCGGACATTTTTATTTTGGAAAAAAAGACAAAATTTCTATCTCTTTTCTCTGCACCAAACATTTAAAAAAACCCCAAACACTTGATAAAAGAGGGAGATGTGGCAGTGCTGGCAGCTCCCAGGCCAGCAGCATCGTGTGTGTGCTCATTACATTTCCCAAATTATCCAAACAGCTGCCCTGCAAGTTCTCACATCCCAGTTGAAAATGTTCAAGTATTTTACACTTCCTTTCAGACACTGTTCTTTATCAGCATCTCCCTTGCAATCACTTCTGAAGGCCTGTTTAAAATGTCACTTACCAAAGCTTCTTTTTAATGAAGACTCTGAATAATTAATTTCAACTGGAGAGATAAATGCAATAAAATTACATTTAGAAAGTCCTTAGCATTTTGCTCTTATTAAGTTTGTATCTGAAGAAAAAAATAAAAGCCTTAGCACTAAAAATTGGCATAAAATAAGGAATTGGGGGGTTGCTTTGTTTTAAGAATGTTCATTTTTATGGACTTGCTTGAAATTCTTCCTGATGTCCAATCTGGACCTCCCCAGGAGCAGCTTGAGGCTGCTCCCTCTCATCCTGTCCCTGCTCCCTGGGAGCAGAGCCCAGCTCCCACCTGGCTGCACCCTCCTGGCAGGGACTTGTGGAGGGTGATAAAGCATTTGCTTCCCTGTGAGATATTCCAGTCCCTGTTTTCAGATTTATTTAGAAATCTGATGAATAGACACAAAATAAAAAATGGAATTCTACATAAAATCAAAATATTGGGCCAAGCTGACAAAACACCATTAAAATTCATTACAGCCAAGTGCATCCTTGGATTGTTCCAATTACTTTCTTCAATCTCTCCACCTCTTCTGAAGATGAAACAGCTTTAGCCATTCCTTCTGCACTAAAACACAGAGAACACAAAGGAGAAGGAGGAGGAGGAAAGCTTTGGATATTCCCTCAGACCCCAATGGAAGCAATTTTGAGTGCTGCCAGTACTCAGGGGGAAGATGGAACGAAAATATTGCAGGGGTCAGGGGGAGTTCCACAGACCCAGAGTGACTGCACAGGCCCCAGAACTTTCCATTTGTGCTCACATATTCCTTTCCCCACAAGCATTAGGACTTGGAGAGACTGGAGCAGCAATTTGCCTCTTCTTGGACACAACTCTCTAAAAAAAATTTAAATGCATGCAACCTGCAGATATTTGGGAATTTTTTAATGCAGTTTACTGAATAAGCTGTCAAATTACAGGTGAAAATATTCCTAAAAAATAAACATGCCAACCAATGATTGCGTATTCAGCCTCTGATTTTATTTTTTTTTTTTTTAAATACAAAAGGCCAGTCTATATTTTGCATAAGGAAATTGCTGCCAAAGGTCATTTTCAGTATGGAAAATGTGCGAGTCAGATCTGATCATTCATCTTAAAGGCTGGGGTTCCATTGCCAATAACCTGTCAATCACCCAGAGTGCAGCCAGAGACAGAAAAGAACTTTTGGCAATGCCAGGACCATCCTCTCCTCCTCTTCCCAGCTGAGCTTTCCATTTGGAGAGAAAGAAAAATCAAGGCAGAAGGAATGAACTTGACATTTCTCTTTTCCATGAGGATCAAAAATGTTTCTCTAAAAAACTGAAAATGACTAGGAGTGAGATTTTCAGGCAGGTACTTCCCTTTGTCCTCACTCCCATGGAGCAGCTCATGGAGAAGCATTAATGGGAAGAGGAGCTGGAATTCCTGCTGGAAAACTCTCCAGCCTAAAGGAAAGCCAGGCTGGAAAAGAGCCCTTGAACTCTGGTATTTCCCAGTTTAAACTAAAATTTAAATGTACAGTTAATGTGTGGAGGAATATCACAATTATCCCTAGCAGGGAGAAAATCTAAATATAACAAATATTGTTGTACAATGTGCCGGTTTCCTTATTTTATCCCTAGTTTATCTTTCACTAACACTCGTGTTCATCCTTAACAACAGCCCCTTTTTACATCTTTTCATCATTATTTAGGAAGATAATGTCCCAGTGCTCCTTCCTCCTGATGGCCACCTGCTTCCTTTGCCTGCTGCTGACAGAGTTAAGGATTCCCTATCCAAAAAGGAGGGAGAAAAGCCACCCAGGATCTCCCACTGCAGCAAAGCCACAAACCGGCACAGAATCCCTGAAATGGCTTTGGGTTGATGCCCCCAAATGAACAAACCTGTCAACAAGCACACTGTGCACAGGCACCTCAACAATTCGAATTTAAATTCCCAAATTCATGGTCCAGGCATAGGCAGTTGCCAAAAAAGCAGCAGTGGCGTCCATCATTTTCAGAGAGCTGAGGATTAAAAATTCTCTTTGGATTCTGGACATCCCCCAGAGCAGAGACCCCAGGAACAGGACAAGCCAAAGTCCACCAGGCAGGGCTGGAAAAACTCCTGGAGCTGAGAGGCCTAGGAGCAATTTATAATGAAAGATAAAGCAAATGATGCTTTATCCAAACAATTTAAACACAGTCAACATAGAATTTTCAACTCAACTCAGTACAAATCAGAGATTTTCCAAGTCACAAAATCCATCTTTAGCTACAGAGGAGCCTATGGCTGGCTGGAGGCAGGAAAACATCAATTACCAGCTTTAAGATTAATTTAATTTTTTTTTTTAATTAATTTTAATCCATTTTTTAAAGCTGTTAAACTCTCCTGGGGATTATTGTGCTCTGAGAAAAGCTGAACCCACCTGGAGAACCAAATCCAAAATGACAACACCCATTTCCAAAGAGTTCATCAACTCAAACCCTCCTGTTCCCAAGCCAGGCTTGTTCCTCTAGGGATTTTCCACCACCTCAATGGGGACACAAATTATTTTAGATCTTGGCTTAAAAAACATACAACAAAATTTTAAAATCTCTCATTTTGAACACAGCTGAAACCGTAAAGATTAAGCGTGGTGACACAGGGTACAAGGAATGTTTTGCCTCTAAGAAATACACAAAACAAGGAAAAATAGCAAAAAGAAAGGAGAAAAAAAACTCCAAGAAAACTTTAAAAAAATAGCAAAAATAGCACAAAAAATAGGGGGGGAAAAAGAAAAAAAATAGAAAAAAAATTTAAAATAAAAAAAATGAGAAAAAACTTTTTAAAATAGAAAAAAAAAGGAAAAGGGGAAAAAATTGGGGAAAAAATTGGGGAAAAACCCATCCAGGCAACATGTGACATAACCAGGATTGAAAAATGCCAGAAATTACATTAATTATCAATCTTCTACTTTTGATTATGGCCAAGAAAAGGCTGGGTCATGCCATAACCAGCAGGTCAATACCACCCTTTTGGAAGATAAATGTACTCATAAAAATACAACAGCAGAGATATCTTGTTTTCAGCCAGTCTGGGAAGAAATTTACAGTTATTACCCTTCTTTGAGCCTTAACTTCCTGAGCCAGATAAGGAGCAGCAGTGCAGCACGTGGAGATTGTGCTCAGTGGGAAATGAGGCAGCTGCCCTGATCCTCAGCAGGTTCCAGAAGTGAAATTATTGATTAAAATAGAAATTCTGGATGTTTGGAAAACACAGTTTGAGTCAGGATGAAATACTTGGAGTCCTT